TTCATCCATCCATCTTCCATAATCTCTTATGCATTATAGGTTTGTGGGGAGTCTGGAATCCAGCCTAGAAAGCAGCAGGTACGAGGTAGGGGACACCCCCGATAAGATGGTGGTGTACTGACAGAGTCCAATTGCCTCACTCCATTTCTAATCTACTGAATCATCATTTCTTTTCCAGAAATCACTGGGTCGAAGCTACTGGAGACACAAGATAGAGGAGCCAGGCAGGAAAAACTCCCACAACCTAACATTAGAATTACAGATTTCCGCGGTCATGCTCGTGGACCTTCACCGTCAATCCCAATCCACATTTCCGACTCGCACACTACGGTACAATCAAGCAGGGTTCTATGCAGACGCCCACCAACACCTCCACCACCTCCTTCACAGCTCATACCTTCGCCCCGTGGTCTCCAACAATTACTCACCAGCCTCGCAGGATGTGCGAGGGAGAGAATCTTCCGGACACGCTCTGGTTTATGTTTTTCACCCCGATTCCGCTTTGAACCATTTTACAATATTACTCCGCCAATCAATTTAAAGTATTCTGCCTGGTACAGAGACAGGATGACTCATAGCGTTTATCAGGAGTCCTGGGGGGTGGGGGGTGGTGCAGGAGGGCTGGACAGCTTTACTGTTTTAGCCAACATATCACACAAAGCCATTTTCCCTCTAACACAAGCCTTTCATAATGGGTCAAACGAATCTTGTACAAGGAATTTAAACATTTGTTATTTTAAATGCAATATATCTTTTGAATATATCTATGACGTATATTTTTTTTAAATCAATAAACGTAATAAAGTTCCCTAATTTCCCCAATAACACTCCATATTAATGATTTAATATATGTCTATACCTATTTTATTTTTCATATCACTGCCATTCAGTTAATTTCTTAGACATGCAGATACCATCCGGTAGCAGCACATGTCTAAATACGAAGACAATAACTTACAATCCTCTGCAAAACATAATAGACTCCAATAAGATCAGAAAGGAAATGATCATATTTATACATATATGCCTATATTAAGCTGGTACAGTTATCTTCCCGGAAGAAACATACACTTGCAGAATTAGACAAAAATATATATTTTAAAAAAATCTAACCTAACAGCAGAAGGCTGCTTCTCACCACATGAGTAATGGCGCTTTCGCAGCTACCGTTCCTCAAACCTACACAGCACCCCTGACTCACGTCCACACTGACGGCCAGGATGTGTCAGCGGCCAGCCGGCTCGGTGGCAGAAGGCGGCGCCCCCTCGCCGGCCGCGGAGTGCGGAGAGCGCGGAGCGGGAGAGGAGCCGGCCGGTGCGGTCTGAAACTGCAAGGGACGAGAGAGCATTACTGCGGGGAGGGGCTCTTAGCAAGGGGGGGCATTCTCTAAATCTTCCTGCAAGTCATCTGGCAAACAAATTTCCTCTTATTTTATTTATAGTTCTTTTTCGCTACAACCAAATGCTTTAGTCTCGTTAAGTTTCTGCGGATCCTTTGTGCTCCCACGAGCTCTTCTCCGTATGGGACGGGGGGTGGGGGGGGGGCTGCGAGGTGCGGACAATGCCGACCTTTGGGCCTCTGAGCCACCGTCGAGGGACCGTGAACCGGCTCATTGTCGTGCCCCCCCCCCCTGTTCCGTGTCAGCACGCAGCCCTTTGTCTCGTCAGCAGAAACCGGAGCGGAGAGGCGGCGTTCAAACGAACCGGAGCCGACGGCCAGCGAGCCGGCGACCGGACGGCCTCCGTCGGAGAATTTCTGCCCTGCCCCTAGAACCGCACCGGCAGCAGCGCACAATGGCCTGTCTGAATACGCGGATCAACTTCACATTATTAACCCCGTTTCAGCCGGGAATTTAGCAAAACGCGGCTGTTTCATTGAACAACTTAAAGGAGTGTTGCTGGAATGGCAAAGAAGTTGAACAGTGTCCAGTGTCCCAAAAACCACGGCGCAAATGCCGAATACTGAATGGAAAGTTAAAGGTCAGCACTTAAAAAGACAGGAATAAAAGCACAGATTTTAAACACCACCTCCCCAATGAAAGATCAGGCGAGATGTTTTAATAAATTTATTGAAATAACTAGAGATCCCTACAGTCGTTTTGTTCATAAAAAACAGCGGATGCTGGGATGGGTCAGTCAGTAACATTAATTAAACCACGAGTGAAAACGCAGATCCCTTTTCCGTGATGGCATCCAGCCGGACCACGCGCGGCTACACCTGCCCATTCTGGGTGGCGCAAACCTCGCACTATATCCAAAATATTTTCAAGGACAAAAAAGCAAATAATGAAGAGACCGCATCCTATGTCGGCGTTAAAACAGAAAATAACAGATGTGCACGGTGTGAATAAAACACAATGGAAGTGCCATTTGGCTTTCTAATACCATTTAACCTAATAATATTGAGCGGATTATAATGAAACTGCAAACTTAACTTTGATTCTTCTATCCACAACGGCATGAAAGATTCCCCCCGATATAACAATTAGTGCATTTACTCAATCTAATTGTCATCACCAGTTCTTATTTCTTTCAGTGCAATCGGACCATAAATAAAATATATGACGCCTTATATTATAATCGCATAGAAGGTGAAATTTTCATCAGTACATTATGAATTTATTAGAAATACGATACTTATTAAATCCACAACAGGGAGCACACAACCAGTTCGCGCAGTTGCAAAAATAAGCTTGACAGAAAGTGGCCGAGACAATACGACCATACGTATTTCAAATATCCCCCGACTATTACTTATCATACAAAAAGGACATTAAAGAGAAGAAAATAAAACTTCTCCGCACTACGCAGGCCAGGCTTGCCAACTCGTGCCGAGACGGATTTAAATGCGCGTACACACAGAGGCTACACATAACATCCCCATTACACAGTAATGCACAGAAGTTGCGGCAATCAGCAGAACCTCATTTTTAAAATGGGACGTATTGTTACTAATGCGATCGCTACATACCTCACCAGTAACGGTATGCACCTCCATTTTGTGCCAGCAATCTTGCGATTGGGAAAAAGGCATCGTGCAATCAGACTAGTCCATTATTTCACACTGCAGTTTTTTCCATTGCACAAACCGGCTGGGTTAAAAAAGCCCTCCTTCTTCAACCAAAGAGTGAATTTATAGCTTGTATCCCGGACTTCGTAGAAGCGTGTAGGGCGCCGCTGTCACCCCGTCCCCCAGCCCCTGCTCCTTATAAATTGAGAGACTCCGATATATCCCTATAGATGTGAATATGGCCGCCGCAGATTACCTGAACAGCATGGAAACTGAATACATGCCGACGTAGCTCTGACGCAGTAAATTAAGGATTTCCCCCCATCCCAGCAGCGCAAAACAAAAAACCCGGAAAATAAAATAAAACAGAAATAAATACAGCAACGTGACCGCTTGAGGGGTAGAAACGCGACATACACACCCGACTGTGTTGTGAGTGAGACAGACGTGTTTCTGGTGTGTTTTGCATGGGGGAATAAAAAAAAGCTGCGAGGTTTTAATCGCAGTGGATATTTGCAGACCTGAAGTCATCACGCCGACTGTGAACGCAGAAGGTGCACAAGAGGGGGCGCATCGGCTTTGAAAATGATTACAGGAAAATTACATAACCCGCACTGCATTACTCACTGTTTACTTACTCTGCGATCAAGACCCCTTACCATCACCATTTGTAGTTACTTACCATCTCATACCTAAAATCTCAATTAACGCATATGGTTTGTAGTTTTATGGGCGATAAATGATGGTTTTGACTCTTTTGATGACTATTTAGGACGTTGCATTCTCTCAGATGTAGCTAATTTGGAGTCATTACAGAGAAACAAAATGTTATTGTGCGCGCGGGGGGGGGATTAATGAATCATGTTTTGGTTTGTTGTCGCAATTGTAACACGGCACATATACAAAACTGGCCAATTTATTTGATATGCCTTGCTAGTACCGGGTTGGACCCCTTTTTGCCACCAGAACTGCCTTAATTTTTCGTGGCAGAGGTGCTCGAAACATTATTCAGAGACTTTGGTCCATGTTGACATGATATCATCACGCAGTTACTGCAGATTTGTCGGCTGAATCTCCCGTTCCACCACATCTAATAGGTGCTCTATCGGATTGAGATCTGTGGCCTGTACTACAAAGCGGGGTTACTGGCTTATCCGGGTAACTTGTCGGATTTAAGGTACCACAATTTAAATGGACCCGGTGTGGTTTTCTGCAGCTGTGGCCCCTCTACTTCAAGGTTTGACATGTTGTGCATTCAGAGATGCTCTTCTGCATGCCTTGTTTGTAATGAGTGGTTATTTGAATTACTGTTGACTTTCTATCAGTCTGAACCAGTCTGGCCATTCATCTCTGACCTCTGCTATCAACAAGGGATTTTCGCACAGAGAACTGCCACTCACTGTTTTTTTCCTTTTACGGCCCATTCTCTGTAAACTCCAGCTTGTGCGTGAAAATCCCAGTAGATCAGCAGTTTCTGAAATACTCATACCAGCTCAGCTGGCACAAACAACCACACCACGTTAAAAAGTCTCTTAAATCTCCTTTCTTCCCCATTCAGGTGTTTGATGTGAACATTAACTGAAGCTCCTGACTGATACACTGTGTTGCTGACGACTGGCTGATATTTGCTTTCACGAGCAGCTGTACCTAATGAAGTGGCCAATGAATGTACTTGCTAGGCACTGCTGTGCTTCACACACAAAAATTTGTGCTAAATCCGTGCTACTCGAAAGACAAATATGTTGAATTGTCACTTTCATCCTATTGCTTCCTACACAGTTTTAAGCACAGGCTGTCAGTTTAATTAAACATAAAGCAATTCAATTGTTTTGGGAAGCTGCTTCTGGTATAGTAGCGATCTCACTTTAAATATCCCATTTATTAAATGAAATATAAAATATGGACTGTATAAAAAAAAAATATTTAAACATCTTTAAACATCTCTGTCTGGCAACATGTCTTCCTCAGACAGAAACAATCGCACACAGAGAGTCCTTCAAGTCAGTGGCGTTTATTATTCTCAGACCGATCCCTCAAACAAGGCGGACAGACAGGCAGTAGAAAAAGGCCTTCAGTGCCGTAACAGGCCAGACCTTTCTGGAGGCGTCCTGGCCTCACGGGGATTTAGGCACCACTTGTCTCCTGTCATCAGGGCCGGTTAATCCTACAGTCGGCATAGGCGGCTGGCTGCCGAGGGCGCCCACTTGAGGGGGTGCCGATATGCCAGCCGATTTCACTGTGCCGCAGACGCGGGGCGCTGGCAGTGACGCTCGCCTAGGGGGCCACTTCGGCTAGCAGCGGTACTGCCTCTGATACAGAGGAGTTGCTGTTGGAAACGGAGGCGGCGACAGAATCGGCACACGGCTCTGAGCCCAGCTCCCAGTCTTCTTCCACTTCTTGAGGTAGACTGGCCAACAGCTCCTGGAGAAAAGCAGGAAGTCGGAAAGGAATTTGGAATGTGGGAATAACGAGCTGGCCGTCATGAAAGCTGGAAAGATGGCCGCCCCAAAGTGTCCTGCGTCTTCAGCAGACCAAAGCCTCCGTGTGACGTTAGCAAAAATATTTGACTGTCTAATAAATTCACAGATTAATAATAAAATCCCACCTGAAATACTAGTGTCAGGGAGGTGAAATTTGACTACTGGGGGGGTGTGTGTGTGTGTGTCGGGGGGGGGGGGGGGGGGGGGGGGGGTGATCGCAGGCACCAGCTGTCCCCCCACGGTGGGACGGCGCTTGTCTGAGCAGGAAGGACACCGGAACACTCTGCAGCCTCGCTGTAATTTGCCTCGCGAGCCCCATCAGATGGATGTCGAGATCATCCGAAAAGCTCGCATCTTCACCCCCCCCCCCCCCCCCCACACTCAAGCACCATGTCCTCTCTGCAGCTGGCCTAGACGGAGGCGCCAAACGGCGCGCGATTAACCAAATCTCTCCAAATAACAAGTCAAAAAAGAAAAGGACCAAACATCGGATGGCAAACCTCTGCCACCTGCTGACCGGGACGGGAGCTGATCTGCACCTCTGAGGTCACCTGGTTTGCTCTCCCCGGAAAAAAAAATCGCTCCCCGCCTCGTTCAGCGATCCGGCACAGCAGGCGAAATAAACAACGGAAAAATAAAAGTGACCTTTCAGGCCGGGCACTGATCAGCACACAGATGGCTCGGGGAAATGCCACGCAGAGCCGTCTGCGGTAAACGGACCGCCGGACGGGACGGGACGACACGAGCGCACTGCGATCCGGAGGGAACCGCCACTGGCAGTGTCTACGGGCGACACTGGAGCAAAATCAAGGCCTCTGGTGCCAACCTTTGCAAGAAATCTGGATACATCACACATAAGTAATTAATAAAATAATGCTTTTATCTAGTTGATCACAGTCTGGGGTGATGTAACTAGGCTCCTACAGCTCAACAAGTACAGTACTGCACTAACAACCCAGAGCTCATGGGTCCAAATCCCAGGCAGCACATATAAAGTAGTGACCCTTCCATCTACTGTAAGTTGCTATGGATAAAACCATATTTTCTCTGCTCCTTTAAAATGAACCTGAGCTGTCCGTGTAATAAGTTTGCATCTTGCATTAGCGCATTGGCTTGGGACACAAAACCACATTGCAGGGTAACAGCTCTTCTGCTATTTCAGCTCAAACAACAACTTTGTGAAAACAGAACATAAACACTTGATCTAATTCAATGTCTAATTGCTATGTTCCTCACTAATATGTGGTGCAATGCCACTCAGTGGCAATTTAGTAACACAAGCAGAATGTGATGAATGATCTGCCCTGAAAAGACACATTCTGCACGGATTGATGCTGATTATCACGGCATCCTCACAACCGCTTAACCATGGCGATTAACTTTACGGCCGGCAAAGGTGCATCCGCCGATGGCTCCCATACCGGGGTGTTGCCGCACCCCCTGTAAAACCACACTGCTAAATTCCGCTCATGCTTGCATGCGCTCCCTGCAAATCTGTCTGCATTATGCGACTCTGCAGCTGCCACTTAATAAAAAGGCCAAAAACGGGTAAATATTTAAGCCGGAAAAGATTCTCAGGCTGGCACAGATTTCATCTTCTTGTGAACTGATCTAAAGCTGAGTTTTTTTGAGTAATTATTAATAGTTTTACTTCGTCAGCATGTGCATGGTTAGCATTTTGCATTTTCACATTGGGTACTAGTGTAGGGTCCTTCCTGGGACAACAACGTTCAGCCACTACACTCCTCTCTTACAGATTTCTAGGGGTGGGGGGGGGGGGCATTTCATTCGGGAGATCCAGAAGCTTCTATGGGTCCAGTGTGTGTGTGTGTATGTGTGGGGGGGGGGCATTTCATTCGGGAGATCCAGAAG